ATATTTGCTGTCACTGTTGAGTAGACTGAGAAGCTACCGCTTACGCGGTAAAAATTAACAATGTTTTCCTTTTTAGGCAAAAGTGCATTATTCAGTGTCTCATTTACTTTCTTTGTCCCTACTGCCTTTAAAATATACTTGTATATTTAATATAGTGAGCTCAACTTTATGATTTTATTAGATGGGCGGAATTTCAGTTTCTCATGACTGATCTAATTCGACCATTAGATTAATACCATGTTCAGTGCTATACATGGACTTTGTTTTAGACTGAACGAGCTTTTAGCCAGTGAACGTGGCGTTTCCTCTGATTCCAGTAGCCGTTACGTGGAAGAGATGCTGACGGATGCAGGAGACATTTTAAGCAAAATGGCTGCTAAAATTTCGCGGATCTTCATATGGTCAGACGCGTTATTTGTGTTTCCCTCACTTTCATCGTTTTTTACAGGTTTTGCAGCTGGATCGCTCAGTGCATAATCAGGCGATGTGTTTCGGCAATTTTTATGAACAAGGAGCAGATCGAATCTCTCATTCATATGTCTAAGGTATTGTCTTGTATCAGATGGACACTAAAGACAAAATCTTTTAAATTTGGTTTTAATCGGTCGTCGAAGATCAATGGCCAGTCCCCTCACACACACGCACACACACATACATATATATATATATCGGCCGTTGTCGGTCATCGCTGGACAGTGACCTAGCCAAGATTTCGTTATAGATGTCGGTTTTAGACAAGACGCGTTCATCGACAAATTTCTGTTCTACTGTTATCGTTTAGTTTGCGTTTTACAGAGGACGCATGTAATTAGATGCTGTCTTGATCTTGAAAATTGCCATTACGAAAGGCGGTATTTTAAGTTTGACGAAGGCATTACACACAAGTATTTGACCCCCTTCATTAACGGATGAATTGCATCAGATATATTTATGTTCTTGTTCCGTGCTTGGAAAATTGTCGTATTATGCAACAAAAATAAGCATTTGCTTGATTTAGAATGGCTCAATATGAGACGAAGATTAGGCGCAAAATCTTCGACTCTGCACTGCTTCTTATCTTTTTTGCCATGCACCATTTTAATTTGTAATATAACTGTGCATCGTCAGCATATTTCCCACTGATAAGAAGTATTCAGTGCGACAATATGCAGGTAAAACAACGACAAAAAGCAGAGCCTTGATTAATTCTATTGTTGTTACTCTGATAACATGATTTGTTGTTCAGTGAATCAATGGCTTGCCTAGAACCGAATAATTGCCAAAATCAGTCCGTTTGTTCATTAGCCAGTCAGTAACGGCATGAATAATTTCACCATATCCTTTCATGGATGAATGCGGGTGGCTAATATATTTTCATTTAGGTTTTGGTAGAAGTATAGCGAATAGGTGACGAGCAGAATAAGCGACCGTGTGGCACGGCGACTCTCGATGAGTTTCTATTCTTTCTAGGCGGTACGATAAGACAAGGTCGGTCACAAGACTCAACAGTTGAATAATAAGCGGCGGTGCCAAACTTGCTGATTTGTTTTTGGGGTTCAAGACAAAGCTGACGTTAAAGTTTTATTTCTGACTCGCTTTGCTACCACCATGCTAGCAATATTGGGACATGAGTTCGTGTTAATCAGCAAATTGATTAAATTTTCGATTGTGGGTCCCAAATCGAAAACTCCAAATAAACGATAGTATCTTTTTTGTCTTCATGATAAACTCATTAAAGCTCTCATTACAGATCCTGAAGAAAGTTTGGGGCAGTTGATCATATTGTTCTATACAAAACTGCGGCAAATTTATGTACTGTAATGGCTGAAGAGAGCGCGAAATTGTAACTAATTATGAGAACACTTCTTAGAAAAAGAAGCCTTTGATTATATTGCCAAATCACTTGAGCCATCTTGATTACGTTTTGGTGACGTATGTGTTTTGGCGATGCGGCGTTCGGTTGCCATACGTAGCCGCTGGCAACAACCTCGATACCGGCCTGATGTCGCCCATTCTGCGACGACTTGGTGCTTTCTTCATCCGAAGACGCAGCAGTGGAGTAACTTTAATGGACACCCTCTACCGGATCACTCTTTCTTGTGTACATCATTTTTCAGAAGTTAACTTTAAGCTGCTCTTGGATTTTAGTATGTCGCTGAATTGGTGAAGCACAACGAATGCATCGAAATATTCCTTGAGGCCGGTCGTTCGCGCACCGGACGTCGACTTCCTGCCAAATCCGGGCTGCTGTCGGTCATTGTAAACGCTTGCCTGGAAGGTATGCATGCGGCTGTTGTCGCTTTTCTTAATTCGTCTATCGACGCTTGCAATCCTCGTTCTCTGACTGGTCAGACATTTGAATGTCTGCTACGAGAATTTGCCCACATTAAGTACAGCTTATTTCTTTGAAGAAGATTTAGTCATATCCATATGATAGTTGTCATAGTTCAGTCATAGGGTGATGGCACGAATGTAGAAGTTTTTACTACGTTAATAAGCTCATTTGTCAGGCCTTGGTCAAATGTTTTTTTCTCTATATGACAATATCAGTCAAACGTCCTGCGGAATCTCCGTTAGTCTAATATCTAGGTCATCATCTTGTGCTCTGAAGGTCAGTCAGTGAAATTTGCTTTAGTGAGCTCTAAGTCACAGTATAAGTTTTCAAAACACTAGGTATAACAGTGAGCAAGTAGTGAACAGTGAAAAACCAGCTTGAAAGTGGATCCATGTCATGCTGACCAGAGTCTTGTTTAAAATAGCGGTTCTTCCTTTTTGGGACCGATCCGACATCAGACGACGAATGGACCGAGTGACCTTCGACAAACATTAGCCCTGCACCTGCAAGGAAAGTAAACACAGATTGGTCGCTGCGAAAGGAATTGTTGGAAATGTTGTACTATGTGAAAAACAGTAGTTGGATAGTGGAACCGGCTGCATTCGAATTACCCAGAAAAACTGCTGTCGTTATCAGGCATATGGTTAGGATTAATCAAGAGTCGTCAGTGTCATAGTAAAGGAGTCAGCGATTTACAATGATTGATGGAAATTCGTCGTGAAATTACTCAGAGCTTACTGTCAGCTGAGTGCTATAAATATATATCTCACCCCGATTTGCAGTCGAGCAGACTTTCTCCTAAACAGAACTGTCCCTAGCCCCTTAAGACATGGTGTTCTCTGTTGACTTTGTTACCAGTGCCTCCTGAGCTGATTATCGATGAGCTTTCAAAGAAATTCGCTATTAATGCTACTTCGTGGATACTCATGAATACGGATTCCATTGTAATATGCCCTGTCAGACAGTGATGCATTCTGGTCTCTGTCTGCTGTCTGAGATTGGATTATTGTTGCAAATTTAACTGAACTGAATTATTTCAAAATATTTTTTTTCTCTTAATAGCGAATTTTCTAGGTGATTTCTAAAATGGTCTTTGTTTTATGTAATCTGGATTTCACATTCGATTCCTCATTTTTTCATATGCATTTTAGGCGCTATTGATGACGCGTGGATTGTTCCCGTATCAATAACATATGAGAAATTGGCCGAAGGTGGATTTGCCTCTGAGCTTCTCGTGAGTTTTAAAACTTTTATGGTGGCAATGTGCTTAATATTTAAGAAATTTTATTTTATATCAGGGCCAGAAAAAGCAACCAGAAACTTTTCTATCTGCAATAAAGAATGTTCTTGCCCTAATGTTTTCGGACAGTGGCAGTGCTCATCTAGTCCTTGGAGAACCATTGTCTTTGAAAGTATGTTCTCTGTAAATGTATAATATTTATGATTTTATTTATGTTTATGATTTTTAGGTATGTGTAATAATCTCTGTAAAATTTCTCATAAGCAAAATTTTTTTTACATATGACTTAACATAATCGTAAATGTCGTTATGAGTATTTGTCTGAGTTACACTGAGTTCCTTGCAACTGCAGTGGATCATTTCCACAACTTCATCATTCCACCGATCCACTGCGCAGCTGTCAACTTCGAACAGTTGTACGAACGCGGGTGTTCATAAGCCTTATGTTATGAGTAGTCATTCCAGCCGAAGACAAAGTCGTAACACGCCTGCATCTGAGGAACTCCGGTATCGTCAATCTCGCAGACCTCTAGCTAACGCAGATGCATCTAGAACTCTTCGTTATGCTCAGAGAAAAGAAACGATGAGATGCTGAGTGAAATGGACGTTCATTACGCAGTTATGAAGTAATAGTATCAGGGATAAAGAAAAAACCCTATGTGGATAGGTCTTTTCA